ATTAAAAATCCACGAATAAACATCTCGCTCGGAGAAATTGACCTACGAATTTTTGCGTTATTTCTCCATGCCGGCTCATAGCTCTATCTCCGTCACTATGCTTGATCGCCCATTAAAACGGCCGGGTGCAATTACGTTTAAAAATAGCAAGAGAGTCGAGAGTAGAGTCTGTTGCGCTCGATTGCATCAGACACCACCACGACGATGACGACGACGACGACACGACGACGATGCGGATAGTAACGAAGGAAGCAAACCACGACAACGATGACGACGAAGGCGAAGAGGACAACGCCAACGATGATGACGACAACGACGAAAAGAACAATAACAACGATAGCGACAGGGAAACGTCAGAGGTTTCGCTCGTCCGCACCTTGTGATCGACTTGCCACAGCTACAAGAGTCGATAGTGGTGTTCGTTCATGTCTAGCATACTATTACCGTGAATTTCACTTACGATGTAAAAAGACCGATACTAAGTTCATACTCATTATCTTCATTTTTTATTACAAAAACTGTCTAACGTAGATATTCAATAAATTTTAAATTCCATTAAGCATATAACCAAGTCCATTTAAAATAAAATTTAAAAAAATAAAATTTTATCACATACACTTCTCAGCTTAAAATTAATCTAAACCGATTCTAAATTATTTATAACATAAAAATTATTTTAGCATCATGCTTTTCACACGTAAATGTCACATCTAATTAAATAAAAGTGAATACATTGCAGACTTTGTGTTATTTATATCATTTTATATTATTTTAACAGCAAATATTTAGCAAAACAAGTCTGTAAGTTAAGAAGATTAGATAGCAAGAATTACTCTGAATCGAGAAAAAGCAAGCGAAGCGTGTTTGCATTGGAGCCGCAACTTGTCAACTGCTGCAAACTGTAAACCTCATAGGATAACTCTCACGAGAGTGACGAAAATCATGTGTAAACTGACGCGTGCTTGTAAGCTTTACGTAGTATAGGAACATTGTTTCCACAATCTCTGGACTGGTCCCAAAGTGTCAGTCCGATGTTCTGATGGCCAAAGATGTCGTGGCACTTTAAGAAACGCATTCATAAACAGCCGCCAATTTCCGAATCGAATTCGAAGTTACGTAATGTTTAACATTTAATTGTAACAACTACTATCATGAGACAAATATCGCATTAGTAATTAAATTATTCCAACAACAATCACATCGATGCTGTATAATTAATTAACCGCGGTATTATTCCCGATTTACCTACCCCGTGAATGAACATCTCTACTAATTTGATGTAAAATCAATCACAATGAGGAAGGGTGCTACATTATAAATCGAAATTACATTATAAATGTAAATAGGATAATCTCTATATTGTTTAGAATCATTTGTGAACTAATCTATTGCATAACAGTAGATTTCGTCGTTTTAACCAAATAAATTTAACAATGCCAAAATTTTGAAGTCTTCAAATGCACACAACAAAATTTGTTTTTCTTTAAATGTAAAATGGATATAATAAAATATGATACTAATAAAAAAATTGTGAAAAAACCTATAGATTTATCCCGCACAGATTATGTGATTATTATAAGCAAACGGGGATAATAATCGATCTAGCTTTTGAGTTAGTAACCAACTTTTATAACAAACTAACAAGATAATTAAATTTTGTTCTATTTTTAACCAAAAAAATATGCGCAAAATATTCTGACGCGTTGTGTGTGCTCTGAAAATGCCTAACGGTAAGAGAGTACAAGGCTAATGATGTCATGCGTACTAATGTAAATTATGTAATATTTTCATGGCACACAAGTTTGAACGATTGATACGCTTAACTCGATTTATTATGCAAACCAGACAACCAGATATTTAACATAAAAGACGGAAGCTTGAAGATAAAAGCCTGAACCGTGAAACGTGCATCTTCCAATTATACAAGATGTAAATAGATAATTTATAAACTTTGTGAAGGTTCAGAGCATACAAAGCACAAGCAACTTATTCAATATAAGTAACTTTGAAAACGAAATACGCTTCTATGAAGCGTCATTTTACACTATAAAATATAGAATTTAGTAAAACATTCTTGACCTCATTTTGCAATTTAGTACATAATCTCTTTCAGAAGATGATGGTAAGACGAGTGTAAATTAAATGAAAGTTGATCTACTGATTCGTGTTACATGGCTTTTATCGCCATGTAACGGCAATGTAGGGGCTTCGCAGATCCCACTTGCACTGGAAAGTTACGTGTACCGGTGTACCGTACGCCCACGAAGTTTATAAAACTTATTCGTCTACATCTTGTAGATGACTTGCGGAGAAAGAGCGAATTGTGGCGCGAAAAACGAAGCGGGGAACGAGCGAGATGGCGGGAAACGAGCGAGATGGAGACATGACTTACGCAACAACAGCAAATAACGCTAATGAGTTCTTGTACTGTTTCAGCGGGAAACTCTCCTCGAAAAGAATTCATAGTTGAAAAACTATCGCTAAGAAAACCAACGATTACATTCTCGAAGAATGAAGAAAATTACGTATTATATATATTATATGTACTAAATTTTATAATGATAAATACATATATCTCAAATATTGTAAAAAATAATAATAAAATAAATTATAACAACTCCGCCTGCGCGGTCGCTGGGTGAATTAGTAACTGATGCTACCAGTCCCAAGCTCGAATAAAGGAGAAGGCGACGGACCAATCATCCGTAAAAACTTACCTTGCTAAAAAAAGTCTAACAATAGCCTTGAAGACAATGGAAACAAGCAAAGACGAATACGGCAAAAAAACTATGAATATAGATGATACATAGAACACTCAAGGTTGTAGAGGAAAAATCGTTCAAGAAGCAGAAAATCTTAATACAATTGTACTAACGATTAATAAAACTATGTGAACAAAACAGCCTAAAAATTACTAACGGCTTTTTCGAAAGATATACATATAAATACACTAAAAGTAACCTACTATACGGGTCAGAGACATGAAGAATGACCGAAAACATAAAAAGAAAACTAAAAGCCACAGAAATGGATGCTATGAAACGGGCTGCAGAAATATCACGCTTATTGTTAGATAGATCACGCTAGAATAAGAAACGAAGAAGTGAAAAAAAGAATGGGTATAGAGGGAACCATAGACGAAGACATTAAGAGGAAACAACTGATTTGGTACGGACATGTAAAAAGAATAAACGATGACAGACTTCCAAAGAAAATCTTGAATTGGACACCAAGGGAACGGAGAAAGAGAGAGAGAGAAAGATCAAGAAAGACATGGGCGGAAGGAATAAGGAAATCTATGAGTTAGAGAGACCTAGGAGAAGAAGATTGAAGAAATAGGACGAAATGGAAGTTAAGCATCGAATAACGTAGAAATTTTATAACCCGATTAGACGTATAACCCGATTATATTTATATAATTACATTTTAATACGTAATATAGCGCATTGATAACCAATTTTTTGTTATTGCAATTCCTCGCAACGGCGGTTCTATCGTATAATCGAGGATAAATCCCATTTGTGTCAAAGCACGAGTCTGACCATTGCAGACTTTATCTCCTTTCGCACACTTTTACGGTTATTATTTGCTGGCTTATATTCATTTGTTTCTTTTCTTTTGCAATATTAAACGCGTCATTAAAAAGTATTTTTGTCAATAAAAAAATAGCATTTTTATGAAAGATACATTGACAGAAATCCGATTAACGGATTTTTTTGAATTTTTCTTTAACAAAGTTTGAATCCATTATGTATTTTATTTTATTGTTCATGTCATTAGAAATCTTGATTGATCTTTTCTTATGGCGAGAAATATTGTTGATTATCGTCTCTAAAAAGTATTGTTTAACGTCATCCATAAAAAGTTGGAAAGTATGCTTTCAAAAACTTTAGAAAATATCAGAAATATTTTTATATTTTTTACTCTCTTTTACAACTTGATGTATTTCTCTATTTTATGGCACAGAGAAACCATTGCCACATATATCATTTCTGAAAAGTACCGTTTTATGTAAGAGGAAAATATTGTATACGAAAAATTGTAGAATACAATGCCAAATTTCATTATGACCATAGATATTTTTGTCTATTGAATGCGATGTCTTGTAAAGACTAAAAGATTATTTTTGTTAATACTTTTGCGATATCTCAAACAGTGATGGAAAGCTTTCGTCATCTATCACCTATCATTTCATATCCGAGTAAAGCATTTTCAAAAGAAATATCTTCTTGATACTAAAGAAGCGAAGTAGAAATCACAAGAGAAATTGAATGGTAGAACTCGATTCTGTCTATATAAAATGCATCTTTAGAAACGTATGAAAAGCTATAGAAATTGATGTCAATGTTTCTTACGTAACGTTATTTAAATATATATTACCAGTTACTAATTCGAAAATTAAAGATAATACGATCCATCGACACATTTTAATGTCTCAATTATAAATAAATTATATATAAAGCTTTATACATAAGTTATATTTTCTTATGACACAAAGCAAATAATAGAAATATAGTTCATATCGGAGAAGTTAATACGAATATCGGAGATATTCGGAGAGAACTTAATATGAAAATGACGAGAATATCTCGGCATAGCAGATCCCAATTTTCCTACTCTGTTCTATGACGTGCGGTAAACTTTATTACGTTGACACAATGAATGATATACGACACATTGCGTAATGATGCCGTGCAAAAGCACGTTACGAAACGCACGAATGGAGGTATGCTCGGAAACACGTGGTCGCAGAATACTTATGACGGCCATGTATTCACGTCGGCTTTTTCGTAATGTCTAATCGAGTTGGTTTGATAACGTTCGCGCGCACGTGTTAATCTTAATCACTCTCGCTACTTGCGTTCGTACTATTTTTGCTAAAGACCTCGAAGATTTACATATGCCATGATGTTAATAACATATGACATAGTTCATCGGATTATATATAGACTATTAAAATACAAATTTTCTTATGATTGCATATTAGTATCAAAACATACCTGGACTGGTCTGCCAAGATAGACCGCCGATGAACATTTTCCTAGAAAAGAAAGACGATTCCATCAGGCACGCCGTTCAGCCGCGGGTCGTTGGCGGAAGAGGAAGCGGACGCGGGAAGACTGCCGGCAGAGGGTAACTTCCGGTACCATTTTGCGACCCCCTGCGCAGTCTCCCGCCCTCAGCGGCAGGTGTCACCACACATCAACCAACAACCAAATAACACCCCTTTCTTCTTTTTTCGCGATTGCAATGCGCCCGAAAACCGGATCTTCCGATCGCGAAAAAAACGCGAACTATCTCCTCCTCGGACCGGCATCTTCGTTTCATATCCTTCTCTTCTTCGTACAGAATTCACCAATTAATCATCTAACTTTAATACCTTTTCCATGCATAGAAAAGTTCCTATCACAACTTTGCATCGTCGAAAGAAACGAATTAAGATAGAAGAGATAATAGATGTAAATAAAGCATGAGATCAGATCTAAGCGGCACATAATATTCTGGATTAAAACTGCAGTGTGCTTATTGATTCGTTTAAAGATCACCATTACTCAACGTCTTGGAAAAATTATTCAAGTAAAAAATCCATATTAAAACTTGGACTCTTTGAATCCTAGAATTTTTTAAAAACTTAGATCCTTAGGTCTTTAAATCCAGCAAAACACCGAGAAAACTTTAACTATTTCCTCAGATTTTTTTCAGCAATAGAACACTTATCTTAGCGTGAACATTTATCCACTATTTTGAGACGAGAAACTGACGTTGATTATTTTACGACACCCTCATAAAAAGATCGATGAACGATCCACGTGATTGTCGGCTAACGATCTACAGCGACTGAGCGACGTGTGTTTGTTATCGGTTTTACGACGATTCCAGCGCCATAAAGAGCTTCGGATGAAGACCTTGTATCAAGGTCGCCGAGCGATAAAAAATGACAGCATCTGGACTTTTTAGATAGGCTACGAGCGCGCGGCACGAACCGGTCCACAAATAAACTGATCGATCGGAAGATCGATTAGCTAATCGCCGGTCTCCGAAAAAGCAAATCACACTTTCCGCACAACCGGCAGCGTACATAATCGATCCACGTACGCGTCATTAATTAGCCGGCTTAAGTATCCGTCAGCATGCGTCGATAAGGAAACGACCTCCCATGCTTTTCATTCATGGTCTACCCCGCCCCCCTCCCTCCCCCCCCACATCCCTTCTATCTTCGAGCACGCGGATGAGGAGATCCCCACTTCTTATACTCGCTTTTCATCATCGTCGTTGGAAATAATCGCGCCTCGCATTATTACACGGCGAGATAACGCTCCCGCTTGGACGTAATCACGTGGTGGCGCATTTGAACATCGATTTTCCGAGCTGCGATATAGTCATCTTCCTCCCACGCGCTTTCTTGCCTCCCGCCACCTCTCTCCCTGCTTTCACTATATAGCACTATCTCTATCCACCTACCAATCTATCTATCTAGATCTTCCCAATTGGAAGAATCAAAGTAGGCTACCGTTTCCAGGCTTATAATCATCACGAGATTTAAATCTATAATGAATATCATCTTTGAAATCTTTTCGACGTGTGTGGCAATGTTATTATTCTTAATATTAATATCATTAAACAATATCTTTTCCTATAAAATTGATTTCTGATATAAATAATTTGAAGAAATAATATTCTGATTATTATATAATTATACTGTTTGTATATTTTGTATTATCTATATCGATAAGTAATTAGGTCAAGATAAATTTTTCATTCAACCTCAATATTTTGCTATAAAATATTATTTGAAGCGTCGCATACCAAGAAAACCCAACCAAAAATTTTATATTTAAAAAATATTAAAATCCCAACCTTTATTTAAAAATTTAAACACGCAAATATGTATAAAAAGTTTTCAATTATATATATAATTTTTATTTAAATTATTTTTGCATATATTTATATTTCCGAATACATTTTATATCGATTCGAAAAGCAAATATGCCGAATTTTGTTCAAGGATTTTATGCAACTAACGTTAAATTATGAACCAAAAGCTACATGATAATGGCCCTTTTTTTAGTAAACATATCCATATCAAATACGCTATAAAAAACTATCAAATATTGTTTAGACAAATTAGAATATTTAATAAAATCAAATATTATTTATTATTTCTTCTTGTGCATTCCAATATATCACAAGTGCTTCGTTAGACGTTGCCCAGGAGAACATACGCATTATTCTACTTTCTCAACAGCACGAAAGGCAAAATCAATAATCAAATCCACTGCACGGAATTCAAAATTTTTAAATTTTTCTCGTGTGAGAAGCGAACGAATGAATATCAACAACACCAAATAAGAAATAAAGAGACAAATATCCGAACTGTTTATTATTTTGCAGTCGTCAATATAGTTCAAAGTACGTTCAATTAAATCGTCGACAAAAATAAAAGTTATCGAATAATCAAGCACAGAACAATCTAGTGAATACTAATCGATTGATACCTCGCACTAGCAGCAGTCATTAATAAGATGATTTAATTAACTCATTGATCGGAAACTAGCAGAACCGAACGAAACTATCACAAGCATTAAAGAGATATCATAAGATGAATATAAAATCGACCAAAATGCGATCTAGCGAATACTAATCGATTATTTTATTCCGCAATCATAATGACCCAAAGACGTTATCTAATCAGTTTATCAACCACGTCCGAAACTGGATGGAACCATCAACGTTACTGGACACAAACAATTCAACGAATAGAATCGATTCGATATCTCACTATCGCTTGAGTAAGAGACATGACATAATCATGTTCATTAATCACAATCGAACCAGCGTGTTTTTCATCAAGTCTCAAGTGTATCACCAAAATTAAATTGACCCAATTATTCAGCGAGAGGTAAATTTCTAAATGGCATTTCAGATCACTGCACGTCGTTTGTGCCTTGTTTCGGACAATCACATAATAAAGAACTATGATGACATGATTTTGCCGGAAGAGTCGATTCACCACGTGGCTATCACGACGCGTGGTGTCTTCACGTGTGGTATTCCAGAATTTCGCGTTCTTTCGTGCCTGCAAAGTGGTAACGGGGGGCTGGCGGCAGATTCGAAGGTGGCAGCATCTTCTCTCTTTCCCTCCTTCTTTCCATTCATCCGACCCTCTCCCCCACCCCCGCAACCGCCCACGTCTGCGCGGGGGGGAGAGGAGCACCAAACGCGGAAAGAAGGCGCCACCGGTCCGAGGAGAAGCACGCATATTCACGCGCCCGGCAAACATAAACACCATGCGTGTCGCGTAATTCACGGAGGAGTTTTGCATCGCTGTCGATCGGCGTCGACGTGGTCGAGATCAATGGCAAGTACCGATCCGTTTTAGGAAGCGACTGATTTTATCCGGCACTGACACGGAGCAGGATAACAGAAACACAAAACTTTCCGGAGTGCATACGATCGCCGCGCGGTATTACGTCAACGCACTGAGAGAACGGAAGGTCCATTTTTCCTCTCGCTCTTCCTGCTCTCTTTCTCCTTTCACACTCTCCCACGCATCTTCACGCATACATCTTCTCATCCGCATGCATCCGCTCTTTCTCTCCCTCTCTCTCTGTCATTCTCACTCTTTCACTCTATCTCTCTCTCTCTTTCTCTTTCCCTCCCTCTCCATCCGTTCTCTCTCGTGTGGTCGATCGTTGATGGTCGATGTAGTGGAACGTTTCGGGGTTGCCTGGGGGTTGTAACGGTGGCCGCCGTTCACGTGGTGGACGGTGACAACCGTCCCGCACCCTCGTATTCTCTCTCTGCATCTCCGTACCCGGGATCGTTCGGCACCTCGGCGGGCGACCCGCTCGCTACAATCTCCTGATTCTGGGATTCCATAGCAGTGCGCGGCGCACGATTACTCGGTGTCGTCGTCGTCGCGATACTCTCGCGTGTTTGGGGTGGAAGCGACGGTGCTCAACGAGTTCGTCCGTTAGTTTTGTTTTCGTCCGGTGCAGTGGTGCTGCTGGCTACTATTGTTGTTGTTGTTGTTGATTGTTGTTAGTATTGCTGTTGCGGCGGACGGTGTCCTCGTCGATGCTCGCGACGGTAATCACGTCGCCGACGGCAGCGGCGAGCGTCGTCGCGACGATGCTCGTGATGTGCAAGGGGTGGTGTCACGACGCGCGCGAGATTTCCCTCGAAACTTGCTCCGCGCTGCTCTTCCCGCTGCGTTTTTCGGAACTTTCTCTCGCGTATTATTTTCCTCCCGTCTTCTCCTCTTTCTCTCTGTCGCTCTATCTATCCTTTTGATCACTCCACAATCACGAAGGGTGGCGCGTTCGCTGATGATCGCGCGGCACTACAACGAGAGCGCGTTATTGACGACGGAGGAGGCGTGCGAACGGATTGTGGGTCAGGATACCCGCGCTTGTCGCGCCGAATAACGACGATGACAACGACGATGACAACAACGGCGGCAAGGATGACGACGACAACGACGAGGAGGACGAGTACGAGGACGATGACGACGACAACTAATAGAGTACACGAGGGAAAAAGGCTGTCGACCTCTCGCTTGCTTCTCTCGGCTCCGATATTACTCTCTTTCCTTGTCTCCCTTCGCCGATTACTCTCTCCTTATCTTTCGCTCTCTTTCTCTCTCCGCACTCTCCTCACACTACCGACTACTAAAAACTAAGGAGAAGGTGAGAGGTTACGTGGCTGCGCGGTACGGCGACTACTGATGACGGGCGGCGGCCGGTACTCGGACGTGCGACGCGCTCTGCGAGAGGTTCGACGCGACACTGCGCTCTTGGCGCGGGGCGGGGGAAGGGACGCCGCGGGGAGAGGGGCATGCGACGGCGGCAGCAGCGGCGACGGCGGCGGTGGCAATAGCGGTGGCGGGGAACGATGGCAATTGCGTGGCGGGGTTGAGGAAGTATATTACGCTTGCGCCGTCCCCACTCGACGTACTAGCCGCGAAACGGAGAAGGGAACGCCACGACCGCGTACCCGCCTCCGTGCTCCGATCACGGCCTGCTTGCCTGCTCGCTCGCTCGCTCGCGGTAGCGCTAGCTAACATTAACGCTAGAGCGAACGAGCGAGTGAGAAAACAAGTGTGATCCTCGCACGAAAAAGCCCGACCACCCGCGCGCCTACACTACTTGCTCCACTTCCTCGCCTCCGCGTGACCGGCGGCCGAAAGAGCAATCCTCGCGCGAGTAATGAATGAGTATCGCGGGGAAATTTTTTTTTTTTATTAATGTTATTCTGTGCCTTTCCTTACATCATATTTTGTTTACACATTATTCATGAGGAAATGTGCAAATTACGAATACTATATGTAATCAGGACAAAGAGAAAATAAGAAATTAAAATGTCATTATGCAAAATGGTATAAATCCACTAACAATCGCTGTCATTCACATGCATTTATCACGGTATCTATGAGATACTTTAAAATTACATATATTGTAATTACAGTATACGCATGCAATCGTTTCGATATTTGCCTTCTCGAGAGCGAATAAAGAGAGAGAGAGAGAGAGAGAGAGAGAGAGAGAGAGAGAGAGAGAGAGAGAGAGAGAGAAGAA